GTTTTGGAGCAATGGATGCCAACGTTGGAAACAGAGGCAGAGCCAGAGGAGTGAGAGTAAGAGGAGGAGGATGGGGAGGACAAGGAAGGCCACGGAACGTAATCTCTGATGAGATCAAAGCTACTTTGGTTGACCATGTGGTCAACCATGGTCTAACAATGAGGGAGGGTGGGCAAAGAGTACAGCCAAATTTGAGTAGGTACACTGTAGCATCCATCATCCGGACTTTCCGAAATGAGAATAGCTAAGAAATCTCACTGTACGCAATGAGTACATTACTGTAGTAAGGTATTGCCTGTGGACTGTTCTGTAGACTGTGAAAATACTGTAAAGTATGTTTCAAGTATTTGGGAAATGTATTCCTACTTTGTATTCCTACACAGTCATCATAATCAAAGAGCAAAATCAGTTTTGGTAACTTTATTACAAATGAAAAGATGAAATATCACATATACATAAGAATTTGCTATGACACTTGAAATCGACATCTAGAGGTTTACCCATTGTAAATTCACTTTAGCCCTCTAATCAGGCTGGATAATCTCAAACCAATCAGCATAGGTAACCTAGCTTGCTTAAGGTTCACTTCCTGTCACATGACTCACCTCTGTCCCACTGTGGGCATCTTGCGGTGACAGTGAAGGGTGACCTCCCGGTGACCCTCACTTCTGGCTTCCTGGCTGACTGTCCAGAGAAGCGGGTTGCTGGGTCTGGCACCCAGAAATGCCACACCTTCCATCAGCCGCACCCTGCGGATCACGGCATGGATTAGTTCCTCACACTACACAGCCTACACAGGTCACTGGTTGCTGCCTGTCACTGCCTGGTTTTCAAGGTTCAGCACACACACTGTAGCACATACATACTGTAACATACGCATACGCTAACAAGCACACAGAGTCTGATGGAGGAGGTCATTCACAGGCCTCCTGCGGGTAGGAGTGGAGAGTGAGAAAGAGAAACAGACAGACAGAGAGATGGGGGTAGGAAGGAGAGAGAAAGGAAGAGCCAAAGAGAAACAAACAGAGAGAGGGAGAGGAACAGGAAGAGAGAGAAAGGAAGAGCCAAAGAGAAACAGACACTGAGAGGAAGAGAAAGAGGAAGAGAGAGAAAGGAAGAGCCAAAGAGAAACAAACAGAGAGAGGGAGAGGGAGAGGAAGAGGAAGAGAGAGAAAGGAAGAGCCAAAGAGAAACAGACACTGAAAGGAAGAGAAAGAAGAAGAGAGAGAAAGGAAGAGCCAGAGAGAAACAGGCAGACAGGGGGAGGGGAAGTGAGAGGGAGGTTGAGTAGAACCCACACAGACACTGAAGGTATGCAGAGAATCAGATCCAGGCCCCAAATAAATACTGATGCACAGCAGACAAAGTCCTGATGCTACCTAAGCCTCACACCACAGCCTGCAGGCTCTAACAGGCTGCCACGAGGCTGGACCAGAATGGACTCAGAGGCCTGCAGAACAAGCTGTAGTCATGGGAACGAAGCAGTGCCGGGAGGTCACTGCACGGCCAGACGAGCACCATGATCTGCGATAGAAATCGGACCGAGCCACCTGTCACGTTCTCCGAGGGATTCTCCCAGAAATACCACAGACGTCCTGAAAGCCACATGCAAATAGCTTTGCCTCGTCCAGGGACCTGCCACAACAGGGAGATGGAGACTCTATACGCTGTTTGGCTCTCCTCTCTGTATACAAACGCCAGGGAGGACCCATCTGGCAAAAGCTGAGCCCACTGGGTCCAGAAGAGAAACTAGATCAGACTCCAGAAGAGAGGACATGAGTAGACTTCAGCGGACATGAGAGGATAAGATGCGACATGAGAGGACATGATGTGACATGAGAGGACATGATGCGACATGAGAGGACAAGATGTGACATGAGAGGGCATGATGTGACATGAGAGGATAAGATGCAACATGAGAGAACATGATGCGACATGAGAGGACAAGATGTGACATGAGAGAACATGATGCAACATGAGAGGACATGATGCGACATGAGAGGACAAGATGTGACATTGGAGGGCATGATGTGACATGAGAGGACAAGATGTGACATGAGAGGGCATGATGTGACATGAGAGGATAAGATGCGACATGAGAGAACATGATGCGACATGAGAGGGCATGATGTGACATTGGAGGGCATGATGTGACATGAGAGGATAAGATGCGACATGAGAGGACAAGATGCGACATGAGAGGGCATGATGTGACATTGGAGGGCATGATGTGACATGAGAGGACAAGATGTGACATGAGAGGGCATGATGTGACATGAGAGGACAAGATGCGACATGAGAGGACATGATGCGACATGAGAGGACATGATGCGACATGAGAGGACAT